TATGACTGTACATACAATTTTTCTATCAAAACTCTTCCTTCCACGTCTTAAGTTTTACATGTTTCCTTAAAACATCCAATGTGTTATTGCCTCCCTGATTTGTATTTATCAGTTATACTCTTTTGCATATTAGCTGTGTGTTCTTTGGCACATTTCTTAACCTCTCTGAACCTCTGTCTTTTCATCTGTAAAATGGGGAAAATAACACTTTTTTGGAATTATAGTAAATATTAGAAATAACATGTGTAAGCCACAGTGCCTGGTACACAATACTACAAAATAAAAGAACCATCATTATTTCACTTCTCAGACAGACAAATAGTAAGCTTCTAGAGGACAGAAATCAAAGCATGCTTCTTTCTGTCCTCTCCTCCCACACCTAGCACAGCATCTAAAACCAGTAGAAGTAAGTATATACCAAATATTATTACAAAGGGGCTGCACAATAAAATAGCTAAAATCAGTCCATTAAAGAACTTTTTAATGTTATCACTGTCTTAAAAAAACTCCCAGCCTCAGTTGAGCCAAACTGCTCACTTCTCTGATGCCCACCTACACACACACACACACACACACACACCAAAGAATCAGTCTCTAATAAGAAATGAAATTTGTGGGGCGCCTGGGTGGCTTAGTCGGTTAAGCGTCTGACTTTCGCTTAGGTCATGATCTCGCGGTTCGTGGGTTCGAGCCCCGCTTCTGGCTCTGTGCTGACTGCCAGCTCAGAGCCTGGAGCCTGTTTCAGTCTGTGACTCCCTCTCTCTCTGAGACCCTCCCCTGCTCACGCTGTCTCTCTCTCTCTCTCCTAGAAATAAATAAAACATTAAAAAAAATTAAAAAACAAAAAAAGAAATGAAATTTGTGGGGCACCCGGCTCATTCAGGTTAAGCATCTGACTCTTGATTTTGGCTCAGGTCACAATGTCATAGTGATATTGAAGCCCACATCAGGTCTCTGTGCTGACAGCATGGAGCCTGCTTGGGATTCTCTCTTTCCCTCTCTCTCTCTGCCCCTCCCTCACACACGTGTGCTCTCTCTTAAAATAAATATTTTTAAAAAATAAAATTTGCGAACTCAACAAGAGTCCTAGACATTTTAATCGTTGGCCTGAAAGAAATACTAGATTTTAGACAAATTTTTCTTACTGAAATTTACTTGGTGAAATTACTCACCTAATCTTATAACCAGTTAGCAATGCCATGAATAAAGCTCATAAAGATCTGATTCCATTTAGTTCATGTCAGATTTAAATATAATATGAAACATAAACACCGATTGCCAGGAGGGCAGCTACACCAAATTTAATGAGAATAGTCTTTACATTGAGTTTCACTAAGTTACTTTCTCATTCCCTTCCAAATAAAACCCAAAATACAATAGCTTCCTTTCACAAGCCTCCTTATCTATCACACAAGCACAACTGATGACACATCCCCCCAACAGTATCACGGTTCTGTTGACATTGGGCCACCTCCATGGACTCTTGGAAGATTTCCACATTCGCTGAGGAAAACAGCAGTGGCAATTTTTTAGTGAAAAAGCATGTGCCTGGTGTTCCCATGTGAAGTAAGCTGCTTTTGCTTTTCCCAGTGAAGCACCCCAACTGCTCATGGGCAAATCAAATATGCAATAATACCTTACAAGCTTACAAAAGCTTACAAGATCCCTGTTCAGTTAAAGAAAAGAAAAGAAAAGAAAAGAAAAGAAAAGAAAAGAAAAGAAAAGAAAAGAAAAGAAAAGAAAAGAAAAGAAAAAAGTCTGTTAACTATTTTAAGCAATACGGCCCGAAACTATGAAAGATAACTTTAAGGCAAGATTTTTATTAGAAAGACATTGGAAGTTTGACTATGAATTTACCAGAACTCAAGAAATATGGTAACCTCTTCAGGGCAGGGAATGTGGCATGTCTCACTCTGCTTTCCCCCCATTTCACGGAGCATGGCAGGAGCTCAGGAGTGGCTGGTGCCAACAGAGGGCCACCAGCGCACCTGCCCACCTCACTCCCCACTGACACTGCAGAAAGCCAGTCCCTTTTGCCCTTCGCTCCTTCTGAAGAATAAGAAACAGCTAATGACATTGACAAAGGACATGCAACTTTGAAAAAAAGTGTGGGTGAGTCACTCACTGTCTTTAGGAATGGAACGACTGAGGGTTACCAGGCCCCACACAGGTCCTGGAGCCCCAACTCTATCACTTACAGCAGTAGGACCATGGGCAAAGGCAGGCTCTCCGTGCCTCAGTTTACTCATTTGGAAAACCGAGATGACAAGATTCGTACATACCTCATATGGTTTGGGTGAGGATTAAAAGAGTTTAGCCCATAGTCAGTAGGCCCATCAATGTTTACTATTTTCAAATATGATTTAGGATGCACTCGCAGCCTCAGGTAGCTGCATTTTGTCCCAGCGGCAGCTAAATGGGCAGCAGGCTGCAGGTACGTGGCACGCTGCCGCCACACTAACCCCCCTGTGGGAAGTTAGAAACCACGAGTTTCGCCTTCGGTAACTGTCTTTAATTGTCCTTGGAGGACTGAAAAATGGGAAGCCACGACCATCATCTCAAATACAGAAGCACAGCTCCTAAATGTTGAGAAAGATGATCTGAATCAATAGAAAAAAAAAAACCGCATTCAATATTCTGGGTCAAAAATTGGAGAACTAATCTACAATTTCGGTTCAGGCCATGATCTCATGGTGAGACTATGGCCTGAAACAGGCTCTGCCTAAGAGTCTCTTTCTCTCTCTCTTTTTCCTTCTCCCTCTTCCTCCTTCCCTCTCTCTAGCCCTCGCCTGCTTGTGTGCTCACTCTTTCTCAAGAAAAATTTTTTAAGTTTTTATTTTTTATTACTTATTATTTTTATTTAGATTTATTTTATTATTATTCTTTATTATTAATGTAGACAAGATGGTCTGTTTAACAAGTAGTACTTGAACAACTGGATATCAATATGGGGGAAAAATGGACCTCAACCCTTCCCTTACTCCATTACAAAAATGAACCATTAACCTATATATAAAAGGTGAAACTATTAAAAACCCAGCGGTGAAAAGCAATAGAAAATCTTTGTGACATTGGGTTACACCAAGACTTCTTTAAAAGTACATAAAAAACATAAACTATAAGAAAAAAACTGGTCAAGGTACTTCATCCAGATTAAATCATCTTGCTCTTTGAAAGATACAGTTAAAAAAAAACAACAAAAAAGGCTACCTACTGGACTGTAAAACATATAACGGACATCAGATTACTTAAAGGACTCTTAACAACTTAATGAAAAGAAGACACGTAACCCAATTTAAAATTTGGGCGAGGGGCGCTTGGGTGGTTCAGTCAGTTGCTGACAGCTCAGAGCCTGGAGCCTGCTTCAGATTGTGTCTCCCTCTCTCTCAGCCCCTCCCCTGCTCGCACTCTGTCTCTCTCTGTCTCTTAAAAATAAACATTTAAAAAATTTTTAAATAAAAAAAGTTGGGTGAAATATTTGAACAGACATTTCACAAAAGAAGTTATCAGAATGGGCAAATAAGCACATGAATGATGTTCAGCACCACTAGGCATCATAGGAAAGCAAATTCAAACCACAATGAGACATCATCACATAGCCACTAAAATAGCTCATGTTAAAAAGACTGACAATACGGAGTTTGGGCAAGGATGAGGAAAATGGAAACCCTTGAGAATGAAAATGGTATGACCACCTTGTACAGCTGTCTCTTATAAAGTTACACATACATTTACCACATGACCCAGCAATTCTAGTCCGGGGTATGTACCCAGGAAATGAAAGCATATGCCCACATTAAAGCATACACTTGAATGTTCACAGCAGCATTATTAGTTAATAGCCAAAACCAGAAGCAACAAAATATGTCCACTAAATGGTGAGCAGATATGTCACAAACAAATTGTGATATATGCTTACCGTGTAATACTATTTAGCAAGTAAACAAAATAAATGTTTAATACAAGCAACAAAATAGAAGAATCTCAAAAAGTGAAAGAAAAGTGAAACTATAGTGACCAGAATGCAGATTAGTGCTTGCCCAGAGCGAGGCAGGAAAAGGTTTCAAATTCAGGGACTCAAGAAAACTTTTAGGATGAGGGATCTTTTTCTATTTATTCTGATATTGAATACAATTACTGAAATTTTCAAGCTGGTGAATTTAAAACAAAGGAGGAAAGAACCTTGTTTCTGTAAGTTCTACAGGCATATGGAAAGAACATGTGGGGTCTCTGTTTGTAAAGTATAAAATGTGCACACATATACACACTTGTTTGTTGATAATACAAATTCTTCCTTGAATATTAATAGTCCTGGGTCTTGAAGAGTTACATGGTTTTGAAAAATGCACAGGCAACACCTTTAGCTACCTTTTGGAAGGTTACAAACTAGAAGAGGTCAATTTAGTGAAACATTTAGTAAAAACATTTGGTAAAAAATTTAGTAAAACAAACGTGCCTGGGTGGCTTAGTTAGTTAAGCATCTGACCTTGTCTCAGGTTGTAATCTCACAGTTTGTGAGTTCAAGCCCCACGCAGGGCTCTGCTTTGATGGTACAGAGCCTGCTTGGGATTCTTTCTCTCTCTGCCCCCCTCCTCCACTTGTTCTCTCTCTCTCTCAAAACAAACAAACAAAAAAATACAAACTTTTTGTTTTTTTAGAGAAAGATGGAGCACACGAGCAGGGGAGGGGCAGAGAGAGGGAGGGAAGAAGGGGGAGAAAGAAAAAGAGAAAGAGAGAGAGAGAGAGATTATATTAAGCGGAGCCTGTCTCAGGGTGTGGTCTCACCACCGTGAGATCATGACCGGAACCAAAATCAAGTCAGAGGTCTAACAGACTAAGTCACCCAGATGCCCCTAAAACCTTTTTATTAAGATACAAATAAATTTTTTTTTAACTTACAGTTTAATTACTTTGTCCCACTTAAAAAGCAAACAGAAACAAAATCAGCTAGGGGTTCTGGGTTTAGGTTCTGGCTCCCGATGACTGAGCCAGGGACTCACCTCTGTGTTTCCATCCTTGAAGCTCTCGCTGTAAGTGCTGTCAGGGGTGCTGCGCTGGTCATCCTTGAGGTAGGTGCTATGGCTGGCCATGGAGGGCATGCCATACGGAGTCTGTTCAAAGATAACCACACGTTGCTCCTCACCTTCTCCCCGGGGGTAGTGCACGGGTGGGGCCATGAACACGGGTGTGAAATCTTCAGCTTTCACCACCGTGATGCCCGAGACCGGGATGATAGCCGGGCTCTCAGAGATGTTTGTGCTGTACTGTTCCCGTTTCAAATTCTCCAGGTGGTCTTGGTTTAGAGAAAGATTCACTGGAACAGTCTTTAGGACCTGCACTCGGTTTTCTCCTCCACTCAAATTACTCTGGGCTTCACTGGTGCCAAGACAGTTTCTGCATGGTAACCCCCCCCAACATAACAAAATTAGAAAAATCACCACTTTGTGACTCCTAATAAAATAACCGATGCCAGCAATAATCAGTGGATGTTAATGTCATTGGGGAAAAAGTTGATGGTGAACTTTACAAGGGAATGCAGTGGATCTTTGCATGACTTGAGGTAGGACAATTGTTTCCCAGTACCCGCGCATATCAAGTGCAGTTGGTTGGGGGGGGGGGGCAGAGTTGACCCTAAATTTAAGCAAGCCTTTAAATCTAATTCCCAGCTCTCGGGAAATACAGGAGGATGGAAGCATGACTTAAACAACATCAAAAGGAAACAATCATACAAACAAAATGTAACACATCTTACTGACCTGGTTTCTTCAATAAATTAGAGGCATGAAAAAAAGAAAGGAGGGTGGGAAGTTTATTCTAGATTAAGAGAGTTGGAAGAAATAACAATCAAATAGGATGAGTAGATCTTGTTTGGATACTGATCTGAAAAACCAGAGACGTTTTTGAGACCATGGGAAATTTGAGGCAATTGACTATAGACTGGGAGTTAGGTGATATTAAGGAAGTATTGTTCATTTAGTTATGATAATGGTTTTGAGATTATGTAATAAAACATCTGTTTTATTTAAAGATACAAATGAGAAGTAGCTAGAGATGAAATGACATGATGTCAGGAACTTATTTTAAAGACTACTCTAATTAAGAGAGAGAGAGAGAGAGAGAGAGAAGGTAGAGATTAAGCAGGTGTAACCAAAAACTACCACTCTGATCCTGGAGAATGGGGTGGGTATTTGAGGGTTCATTATACTGTCCTCTTTACTCCTGGATATGTTTGAAACCTTTCAAAAGAAAAAGTTATAAAATAGCTTTTTTTTTTTTAACGTAAGGGCAGGACAATAACTTGAAGGGGGGCAGTGGGAAGAATATATTTCACTGTTCTCTAGGCTAACCTCCTTGAAGGAAAAATAAAAAAGCAATGAGAATTTATCATTATAATATTTTCACTAAATTGAGAAGCAACGTGAGCTCACTGATATCCTTAGCACTGAATTACTTTCGGAGCTTGAGAGAGTAGTGTCTCTGGGCTTACGTAAAAGAAGATCTCTTAGCTCTCAGACCTCCTGGCTGGTACAAAGAGAAAGGAAAGGATTTGGAAAATTAATTCTCACCAGGCTGGGATAAAATACTTTCCATTTATACTATAGAATTCTGGGAGAGAAAAGAAGCAAAGAGAAATTTGTCAATGGAAGAGTATTGTGGATAGCACAGTGATTTTACTAGCAAAGTCCCTGTGGTTGATAAAATTTGGGGTCACCTCTCATTTATGGATTATTCTGAATGATACATATTTTGCGTGGAACCCTATCTCCAATGTCTGTGTTTTGTTTTGCTTTTTAACTAGTGTGCGTGTGTGTGTGTGTTTGTGTGTGTGCGTGTGTGTGTGTTTTAAATAGTCAGCCCACGAGAGAGAAAGATTTGAATAAAACTGGTTCTTCCCAGAACTGACCTCTCCTGGCCCCTCTGAGCTGGCCTGACTCTCCAGCAGGCCTGTGCATTTTAGCTTTGATTTCTTAGACAAAACCTCAAAGTGAAGGAAGCTTGAGGAAAGAAGGGTTCCAACATGAATAAAGACACCAGAAAAATACCTAAACTTTTCTGAGTCTGCCACAAATTTGTAGAAATCATTCCAGAAAGTAATCCTTTAAAGAATAAAACTGCAAGGCTACAAACATTCTGGCTTTAAGTAATAGCCTGCTTTCGAGGTCAGAACAATACAGTGAATCTGCATATAAGACACGGTGAAATTTAAAAATTACGTTTAATCTGAGTCCAGTTAGCTAGATAATGCCAAACCCAGACCACCCATTGATGTCAGCATTTCCTAAAACTCCATTGTTTAGAATATTGCGTGGAATGTTAATAGATGTTCCTCAAAGAAAGGAATCTTGTGATAAAATCAGTATTCAAAAAAAAAAAAAAGTCCATAACAAACCCAAACCTGGATGGGGCACAAACATCATGAACACAGAAAAGGCCTCCAGGCATTCCTTCGCCTGTTTAATTATAACCCACAATTTCCCAAACTAATTTTACCCCAGACTCTTTTGTGGAGGATTAACTATTAATACTTGTGGATAAAGTCCTGTAAATTGGATGTAGAAGGGGCTGGTCTACACTGAGTAGCTATCAAAACAAGTGTCCAGTTTCTTCTGGACTTTTATAAGCACAGACCTACTGCCTTCACCAACAGATTCAAAGTTAACCAACTTCTCTACAGTTAGAGTCTGTTTCAGGCCAAAGTAATTAATTCTTTAATCCAGGCAAAACATACAAATCCCAAACAAGAAACACAAGTCAAAATATTTGGGGCATTCTTATAAACAAACGTAAGTGAACTACAGAGTTATATCAACCTAGTTGAATCATCTTACCACATGATGAGGAAATAATTGACCCCACATCATCCTATAATGTGTAACTGCCTCTGTAGAACAGCGGTCATTTCAGAAGCTGGAGAACTTCAGCAAGACATCCAAAAAATGGATGATTACAGCAAAGTAAGAATTATCGTGAGCTACTGGCTCACCTGCAATAGGATTTAAAGTTGAACCAAATATTGTAATAGGAGAAAAAAATGCAATGCCTAGAATGGTGCATTAAATATGCTTTTTAAAAAATCTGGGTCATGCCGGTGAGATTTTCAGTTATTTTTCCAAGTGCCAACTTCTAGCTACAGACAGTTGTAATGACACCATGCTAGCACCTGGCACCTTAATTCCTGAATACACTGAAGATCAAATGATGTCCTTCCAAATTACATTCAACCAGACATTTACAAAGTCATAATCAGTCTACACAAGGTGGTTTTGTCTTTCCCTCACTGCCAGTTTTTTTGAAGGTGCTCTGCTGAAATCGCAAAAATAACCATTAAAATACGATGAGGGGCTGTCACTCCTCCATGTTGTTCTAAAAGATGCTTTAACAAAAAATGGTCTCTTCTATCTATTATGATGCAGACAGAGCACATATCTTAGACAGGTTTCTCCCTGACTCTTCTATGAATACTCATATACGATTTAGCAGACTGCACCTGCTTGGCTTAATAATACCGGCTAGATGGAGGAAAAGTCACAAGGTCCGAAGAGTATCAGGCTCTTTCTCCCTGTCATCTCTGCTACCAATTAGGTCCCTGAGACAGCGTACAGCACCAGAAGATCACCTTGAAACTGCAAACCAGATGCAGACAGCCTTAATCTTTGCTGACGGTGTACTTTGGAGGTGATACACTGCTCAGCGTTGCTGGCTGGTGGGGAGGTTCCTGCTGCCACTCATGTCATAAGCAGGTCCTGTCAAGGCTAGGTAAGATTCGGATGCATGTGCTAGCAGGGCATTTCATTTCCCCTGACTTCATATTTCCATATGAATGGAATCCATTCATAAGAATCAAGGCCATTCCATAAGAATCACCAGAAGAAAAGCACTGGGGCTTCTCCCCCATTCCTCTGCAGGAAAGGGATGTATTTGATTAATAAGTTTGGGAGAAGTAGCTGAGTAAGGTGGTTCAGTCCCTTCTGGTTCCCCCTTTATGTCTGGATCATCTTGGCCATACAGAGAGGACTCCAGTCACCCTGCCATACCACAGTGGCCTGTCCCTTCAGGGAGGCTTGGTCCTGCCTGAGACTAGGTGAGCAGACGTACATAAGTCAGGATTGACCTGCTACGAACTGCAGATTCAAAAATCGCATTCTCTATTGGCTTCTTCAGAAATAAAACTGAATTCTTTTTCCTTTTTAATTTCAATCTGTCTGTGCCTTGTTTTTCAATTGGCTCTTAACTCAGGATTGCAGGAAAAGGGGTGTCATATAATGATCTCCTAACATCTTTCCTGCCCCTCTGCCCTCAGTGTTTTCTGGCTTTCTACCAGCTTCCTCCTGGAGTGAGAAACAGCCCAGACTCCTTCTTCTCCCCCTCATCAAAAGCAATCTCCACATAGCTCACTCCCTCAAGGGCTTGATCGCAATTACCCAGCCACGGGACCAGTCAGAAGAGCTGACCCAGGCAGTACACTAGCGTGTCAGCATTTCACCTCTAACTTGGGATTTCCAGCCTTCCAGGAAGCGGGTACATCAAGAGCCTGCTGACTGATGACCCTTTGGATGCAATTTGCTCTCCTTATTGAGAGATCCATTTTGGACCAAACTCTAAAAGACAGAGAGAAGAAGCTAAACTTTTTGATTCCATCTCCTCTGAAGAACAAAAATTATAGCTGAATACTATTGTTTTTAAAAGTGCAGAAAAAGAGTTATTTGGGGAGCCAGGCACATCCCTTTAACGTCATACCATACCTTTTATCCTGCTCTTCTTGGTTGTCACTTGCTTTGCTTACAGATAGCAGCCTCTTGTCGCGAGGAACCTAGAAATATCATCAACCAGCAGTGAGATTCACATAGATGCAACTGTGACTTGTGTGCAGAGCTAGAAACCAGCAGAAGCAAAGAAACTGAGGCGGAAGTGTTTTCTGGGTGGCACATTTGCTACAGGCAGGAGATGGTTAAAGGTGAGTATCCCAAGTGGCAATGACAGTGGATCAGACACACAGCGGTGATGATAACCAGAAGGCCATAATGATCATGATTCGCTGTGCACTGCTGACACAGGTCTGCATGGACCTGACCACTGTCCTAGCCTGCCCCACCTTGGAAGTGAATGAGAGGAAAAGAGCACCTTTAGCGAATGGTGAATCTGGACCCTGGAGATGACAGAAATCATCATGCATTTAGAACAAGCATCCTGTTAATGAACAGGGGCTGACCCTCCGCTCTGATGAGGGACTTTAGGTGCTGACACAGAAGAAAGCAAACTAGACATGGGGCTACACTACCTAGCTGGAAAGCAGCATCTAATATATCTGGACCAGCCTTTAACCACCATCCCCATAGAGTTTATAGCTTTGCTTCCACAATTTTTCTTCTAATGCACTTTTAGTATTGTCTTTGCAACCACAATGCCAACACATCACCTGAAAGGTTATTGAAAAATACTACTAGAGGAAAGAAAGCCCTGTGGGCTGCATTTCTGACCACCAATCAATCACTCTACTGCAGCATGGGTCATTCACATATCTCTGCCATCATTTCCAAACACATGAATAGTGGGCTTCGATTTGGTTGATTGATTGGTTGGATGGATGGATGTTTTGTTTGTTTACATTTTGGGGTGTGGGGGGTTTGTTTTTGCTACATCTCCACATCTTTGTGCTAGCCAAACACCTTTACACTCAAATGCAGCCCTCACTATTTTGACAGAAAAGAGCTTTTATGAGAAGCATCCCTCTTCTGGATTCTTCTATAAGTTCTTACAGTTTCCACTCACCTGGATACATATGCAAGCCAGTCAGATGAATGAGGGAGACAGCATAGCAAGGTGGCTACCAGTCAAGACTCAGACCTGTCTGGGTTCAAACCTCAACTCTACCACTAACTAAATTCTGCCCCACTTTCCCCCTTGGTAAACCATGCTTAATGGCAGTCCTATGACTCTCAGTGTTTTTCAGGAAAATTAAACGAGTTAACTTTTCAAAGTACTTGAAGTATCTAATACTTTATAATATTTACTAAATAAAAATAAGTCAATTTTGGGCACTTGGGTGGCTCAGTTGGTTAAGCGTCCGACTTCAGTTCAGGTCATGATCTCACGGTTCATGGGTTTAAGCCCTACATTGGGCTCTGTGCTGACAGCTCAGAGCCTGGAGCCTGCTTCCGACTCTGTGTCTCCCTTTCTCTCCACCCATTCCCCACTCATGCTCCGTTTCTCTCTGTCTCAATAATAAACATAAAAAATTTTTCAAAAAATAGGTCAAGGGGCACCTGGGTGGCTCAGTTGGTTAAGCGTCCAGCTTCAGGTCAGGTCATGATCTTACAGTTCGTGGGTTTGAGCCCTGCATTGGGCTCGGTGCTGACAGCTCAGAACCTGAAGCCTGCTTCAGATTCTGTGTCTCCCTCTCTCTGCCCCTCCCCTGCTCATGCTTTGTGTGTGTCTCTCTCTGTCTGTCTTTCTCAAAAATAAACATTAAAAAAAAAAAAAAAGAAATGAGGTGAATGAAACATAGCTCCTATCGTCAACTGAAGATGACAGAGAAACATAAAAATATAAACATTCAAGCATCATTATTCACAGTAGCCAAAAGATGGAAACAACCCAAATGTCCATCTACAGATGAATGAATAAACAAAATATGACATATACATACAGTGGAATATTATTCAGCCTTAAAAGGAAAGGAAATTCTGATACATGCTTTAATATGAGTCTTGAAGACATTTACGCTAAATCTTGTGTGACTCAAATCCACCCACTTTCCTCTGGATGCTTGCCTCCTGGTTCAGCCTCCAACATCTCTTCCCTGGGCTACTGCATCAGCCTCCTAAATAGTCTTTCTTCTCCTTCACTTAGTCCCTGAAAATCCATTAAGAAGATCCAGACTGACCTTAAAAATGCAAGTCTAATCCCATTATGCTCTTACATAAGATTCTGCAGTGCCTCCCATTACTTTTGAGAACATGGCTCCAAAAAACCCTCCACCTCAACTTGGGTGGCCCCCATCACTGCCATGCATATAGTCACACTGTATCTCAAACATGCAGTGCTCCTTCTTTCAGCCTATTGGATACCCATTCCACCTCCATATCTATCACCATTGTTGGATGGTCACAGTAGTGAATATTTGTTGGAAGGATGGAAGGACAGAAGGACGGATGGACAGTTGGATGGATGGATGGATGGATGGATGGATGGACTGATGGATATACAGATGGACAGAAGTATAAATAGATGGCTATATGAATGCACAAACAAGCCAACCAACAAACTGGTTTCCAGAGTTATACAGTCAACAAAATAGATAGGAACCAACTAGCCAAAGAAGCTACTTTCACAGAGCTGTAATCAGATAATTATGAACCACCTTTCCTTCAGGGGAAAATGAAGTAAGATACAGTGAGTCAAACCACTTTTAAAGTTAATTAACTAATGGAATCTATTATGTTTTCTGTCATGCTTGAAATTCATCAAAAGTTCACACTTGACTTGGAAGCTATTGATGGGTAGCTTGAACAGGATATAAAACTAGGCTAATATTTGAGCCCCTAACTTTTGAGGATTTTAGCAATTTGGCTATCTTTAATAGATCCCATTTAAAAAGCTTTGAATGGATTTTTAAAAATTTTAACCCATCTTTAAACGGGGTTCAAAAAAAGCAAATTTCTGGGTGCTGGGGTGGCTCAGCTGGTTGCACATTCGACTTCTGCTCAGGTCATGATCTCATGGTTCATGAGTTCAAGCCCCACATTGGGCTCTGCACTGACAGGTCAGAGCCTGGAGCCTGCTTCGGATCTCTGTCTCCCTCTCTTTCTGCCCCTCCCCCACTCGTGCTCTGTCTCTCTCTCAAAAATAAAATTAACATTAAAAAAAGGACAATTTCTAGTGGTGGACAGTGTTATGAACTGAATGGTTTCCCTTCAAAGTTTGTGTGTCGAAGCCCTAACTCCCAATGTGACTGTACTTGGAGACATGGATTTGCAGGAGGTAATCAAGGTTAATTAAGGCCATAACACTGGGGCCCTAGACCAATAAGACTGATGTCCTTATAAGAAAAAGAAGAGACACCACAAAGACATACACACAGAGAAAAGGCCATATAAGGACGCAGCCAGGAGGCAGCCATCTGCATTCAGGAAGGAAGAGAGGCCTCACCAGACATCAACCCTGCAAGCCCCTTGATCTTGGACTTCCAGCCCCAGAACTGAGAAAATAAATTTCTGTTGTTTAAGCCACCCAGTCTGTGGTATTCTGTTATGGAAGCCCCTCAGATTAACATGGACAGTGCAATAGAATGGATATGAGGAAATTTACAGGATTGTCTTTTGACCTTGAATAAATCCCACTTAGTTGCCTGACCTATAGAATATAAAACCTGATGGGCTTTGCTGTGGCGATCCTGTGGTGACAGTTTAAAAATGTACATGAAAAGACTTTGAAATGTTTGAACTACTATACCAAGATATGCCTTTGCAGTTTCCAAGGACAGGGGTCACCATTTCTTGAGTGTCTACTGCGTATCACACACACTCCTCATTACTGTCCCCTGAGGGGCGATATAGTCCAACTTTAGGAGTGAGGAAAATGGTGTATTTTACAAAAAGAATCAATTAGCACTTCCAAAGCGGTATAAAAAAAATCTATCGAATTTAAGTGATAATAGGACAGCAATTGTTACAATAATAATTTAACTTCCCAAAGCTTACACTCAAAAAATAGAATCTCTTTATTTTTCATTGATATTTTACTTTACACAAAAGAAGGTCTATCCTCAAAGTAGGTTTAACTCTGCTGTAACTTTAATACCAGTATATATAAGTTGTGAATGTCAGAGAGCTCAGGCCTGAAAATGATCACTTGGACACAGTTTTGGGAAACAAGACTAATTCTTCAATGTTTAAAATGTTTCAAGCAAAGACATAATCAAGTTTGTGTGACATAAAAGGATCCGTGTAACTCTACTTGTCCACACAGTCTCAGAAACCATTTTATTGAAAACTTTTATATCCTAGGGACGCCTAGGTGGCTCAGTCAGTTAAGCATCCAACTCTGGTTCAGGTCATGAACTCGTGGTTCGTGAGTTTGAGCCCCACACCGGGCTCTGTGTTGACAGCTCAAGGCCTGGAGCCTGCTTCGGATTCTGTGTCTCCCTCTCTTTCTAACCTCCCCTGCTTGCACTTTCTCTCTCTCTCTCTCTCTCAAAAATAAATAAAAGCATTTAAAAAATTTTTATATCCTAAAATAGTAAATCAATCAGGAAAAATGATAGTTCAACAGAGTTATAGACTTGACAACAAATTGAGTTTTTATATAAACTCCTTACTCTGCTTCTCATATATTTACAGACAGCAATGATTCAGTTTTCTTTTAAATATTAAAAATATGAAAGAGGAGAGGTAACTAGGTACCTCATTTACTAGTAATTATCCTCTGCACCTATATTGTAAATAAAATACACTGTTTTCATAAATTACATTGCTTTCATAAATCACTAATTATTTGGTTTGGAGGTATACTTCTCTTTTAATGCAAAGGAATTACCATCTGATACAACTATCTGAAATGACTCCACCACACCATGATGGAATAAAATCTATTTTGAAAAAATTAGAACAATATATTGCTTCAAAACATATCTTAATATAGTTCTTCAATGTCTTACCAAACTACTAACATATTAATGTCGTTATAAAAGCCACAAAAGGAAGCTGTAATGACCCAAGTGATTACGTCAGGGTCACTCTAGCGGTGGGAGCTCCTTGGAAAGTAGGAGAACTCTGGTGTAGGACAGAGAAAGGGAACAACACAATGTGCAACCGTGGAGAGCTGGGAGGGCACAGAGAGCAAGAAACAGGGAGGAAAATAGGAAGAGGTTAAAGCCAACTAAAAGGAAAATTGTTCCTCTTGGGTGATCTCAGATGGGGGGGCGGGGGGCGGCAGGGATTCGGTTCTTGTTCGAAAATAAAGCGTACACTGTGCCCAGCCAGCAAAATAAACACAGCCATTGTCACCTTTGTGCCAATTCCCAACCCAGGCCAATGGTGTTCACAATCTAAGCTGGCAGTAAATCTCATTCAGTAAATACTTGTTGATTTTTTACACTTCACCAGTGCTCAGGGAACAGGTCATCCTGCCTAAGAGATAGACCACTGTTTCCTGTTTGGTTTCCTGAAATAGTCTTATTTTGAAGGCATTGAATGGCAGGTATTTTTGTAAAGTAAGGGAATTATATTCATTTTGTTTCAAGGATTTTTCAAAATGAGTATTTAGTACCCATCAAAACACATGGAAACAAGGGTAAACACAAATTTGGGTTTTGGAATTGCTGCAAAAGTCTACCACAAGGCACTCATTGGAGTAGTCCTTATGAAGCTAAAATATCAATAAATCTAGAAACTCTGAATGGGCATTAAGGAGGGCACTTTCTGGGATGAGCACTGCATGTCAGATATAAGAGATAAATTACTGGGTTCTACTCCTGAAGCAAAGACCACACTGTATATTAACTCACTTGAATTTAAATTTAAAAAAAAAGTTTCTATTATCCTAAAAAATGACAAATTTAAAAGCAGCTTAAATGCCCAATAACTGAGTGATGACTAAATTACAGTATAGCCACTCAACTCCTTTTTTTTTTTTTTTTTTTTAAGTAATCTCTACGCCCAGCGTGAGGCTTGAACTAACAACCCTGAGATCGAGTCACTTGCTTTACCAACTGAGCTGGCCAGGCGTCCCGTCATATTCTCATTCACCAAAAATCATAAAGTGAAGATGGCAGCAAAGAAATATTTGCAATATGGTATGAAGGAGGAATTACATGCAGATAATATAAATGCATGTGAACAGAGGGCACAGAAGTAATTACCCCAAACTGAAAACTTCCTCTGGGTGGGTGGTGAGGCTCTGCTTCAGCGAAGGGAAAGCAGGGAGGCAGTGAAAACAGAACAGGCTGAGTTCCGAAGTGATCTCGGAACTACTATGTTCTCCCCCCTCCATCCGCCAACCAGGGGGGTCTCTGGGGACAGGAAGGGGAGCCGGCGGGGCTGCGGGGTCTACCTTGTAGTAGTCGTACAGCAGCCCCAAGGCAGCGGCACTGTCCTCGTCGCCATTAATGCTCATCATCGCCTTGGTGGCTGCCGTCAGGGGGTTCTCCAGATACGACTTCCAGGCTTCATCCTCACTGGTGTAGGCTCTTCGGGTATTGAACGGAGGGTCACTGGGCATGGGCACTAAGGCCACCAGTCGTTTGGTACTTGAAAGCAAGAGAAATGTGAGGCTCATTATAAGAGAAATGATCCTTTATCCACCAAAAATACATACATTGTATGGTTAATCTGCGCTCCCCCAGAGTGGAGAAGGGCAGGTTAACACTAAAGTGGCTGTCACGTTGCATTTAAAAAGCCTCTGTGACCCTGAGAAGTAATAATGGTCTTTACAAGGTTGTATGAGTATTATAAGTGGATCCCCTTCACACTTGGGTTTTTCATCTTCTGACGTTCTAGAAGCCAAATCATTTTTATTTGATTGCTCTCATTAAGGAATGTTAGAATATGTGTGACCCTGTGAGGAAGCAGGTTTCATTGAACTCTCTGAGTTCTAATTATAAACAAATATGTGCAGTACATGAAATAGAATCAATACAAACGATTACTAAAAACTTTTATCTAGTTTAATCTACATTTGAAATTGTTTGCAAATTATACACCAGTCCACGTCTCTTCATTAAAATGGCAGTATAACTACTTTGTAAATAAGGCATATTGTAGACACGCTGCATGATAACGATACGAAGTAACAGTAATGACACAGACTCTATGTGAACCCTCGGTTGCCACAGAATCCTACTATATTTCAGTGACACAGAAGTTCCAAGTTATAAAATCCTCATGGAGAGTGCGTAGAGTACCTGGAAAAAAATTTTTTTTAATTTTTAACGTTTATTTATTTTTGAGAGAGAGATAGAGTGCAAGCGGGGCAGGGGCAGAAAGAGAGGGAGACACAGAACCCAAAGCAGGCTCCAGGCTCTGAGCTGTCAGCACAGAGCGTGATGTGGGGCTCAAACCCACCAACCGTGAGATCATGACCTGAGCTAAAGTCGGATGCTTAACCAACTGAGCCACCCAGGTGCCCGTGGAGAATTTTCAGCAGAGACAGAAAGGGGTTGGAGTCATTTATCAATCCTAGCCAAGCCAAACTTGGGTAAAAATTGAACTTGACAAGGTAATTTCTTACAGAGGATGTGACAATGACTCAAACACCCAAATACCACGACAGTCCTCAGCAGCTCCCTGGGCCAGGACCCCGGCTGACAAGTTACAGGCGCCTGGAAAGGCTTTGGCACTTGTCTCCTGGCCTTCTATTGTTTGCTCATTGAAACAGAACAAAATCTAAGGATGACATATTGTATTTCAATAACAGCTGTAACACATAGTAACACAGCATGGACAAGTGACAAGACTGGTGAAGGCAATACCTGAATTAATAAATGGAAATCTAGCCACTGTGGGTCCTCTATGGTCACTCAGTTCTAACAGAGGTACTTTTCTGCTGACACTCATACAGGCCCTTCCAGGGGTAGATGGTCTCTCAGCTCACTCTGTGACAGAGAAGCAGTGTGCACTCTTGACACGGACCGTGTCGAGGGCCCTCTCCGTGTTGACATGGTGCCATGCACTGGTATGAGATCAGAAAATGACAGTGTCATTGGTAAGATCTATCAGGGAATAGAGTGGGAAATCCACATTTAGTAGAGTGGAATTCTAGGCTAGATAGTTTCCAGGCTCCTGATTTCAACTCTATGTCAGCGGTTTGGTAAAACAACGGATTGGGAAGAGAGAGAGAATACTGACCCAATCACAAATGAAGTGGATTAAAATTGTATAATGATGTTTCTGGAAGTAAAGGAGAAAACGCCTAGTGGAAGAATTTGCTGAGCATTAGGCAGTGTGGTGGCATGGACTGGCATGCGGGCTGGAAGGGAGTCCTTGCCCACCACTTACAAAGGTAGAGAACTCTGAGTTTCAGCTTTTGCATGCCTTAAATAAGGACAGCAAGGCCTACCCTACTTATCTCACAATGTGATTGTGAGAAGCAGATAGAAAATGGATAAAATAGAGCTCTGTAAACTGCACACTGCTATACAAATTACAGGTACTACCGTCAGTGCACAGTTCATTGCTCCTCTAAAGTTTGTAGGTGCACCAATTTTTGGTAGAGTCGATTACAACTTAAAAGTGTCAAAGATAGGGGCACCTGGGACACTTGGTTGGTTAAGCCTCTGACTCTTGATTTTGGCTCCCATCATGATCTCACAGTCATGGGATCGAGCTGCGCTGTCAGCACAGAGCCTGCTTGAGACTATCTCTCTCTCTCTCTCTCTCTCTCTCTCTCACCCTCCCTCTCTGTCCCTCACACACTCTTTCTCTCTCAAAATAAATAAAGAAACATTTTTTTAAAGTGTTAAAGATAATCATTAATTAGAGGGAAACCAAAGATTTCACTTAGCTTTTACTGAGAACTTACACCAGTCATTGAGGATGCAGTGACAAACGAGACAGACCCTGTCCCATTGCCCACACAGCTTGGAGTCCAGTGGAGGAGAGAAAGTACCCACATTAGAAGAGCGATGAGCCTGAGAAAGGGCGTGTGACAGAGGAGATGAACCTATTTGGAGGAGGGAGGAGGAGCCAGAGTTTCTACAAAGACGTGAAGGTGGGAATGTGTTGGTCAATGCTGAAATGGGCAGATGCGGGAAAGATTTGTTAAAGTGAAGAAGATTTTGGTAATTCTGAATAATGGAATTTTCTGACAAAAGGAGCTCATTTGTATTCATTCTGGAGTCAGCTAGAGGAATTTATATATTCTAGTCTAATACTAAAATAGCATTTTCGTGTTGTGAAAATTACTAATTTTTATAGGATACGGTTGGATTCGGGGACAGAAATGTTGGTGACATCTTAAGGGTCTGTAAGTGCAAGAAATGAGGCCTCTGGGGATTATCAAGAGGGTAGAGGTGGTCAGCCCAGGTGTGGCAATGCCACCACCACCCCTTCTATAGTTGTTTAGCTGGGGCCACCCTAGCTGATCCCACTACTTAAAGGATGAAGCAGCAAATTGTGAAACCTAATCTGTGTCCAGCAGGGTCCAGCAATCATGCACACTTAAATGTTTCAACACCTAAAATGCTCAGTCCTACAGGAATGAATGAAGAGCTTCATGTCATTTGCAGTGACCTCATCATTGAAAAAGATTTGGATCTTATTCTCTTTGATGACTGAGAGAAGCATATATTGCTGGGAGGAGGAAGGTGTTAATTACAGAACTGGCTAATTTCCAAAACTTTAACAGGAAGTGCCAGGCTGAAGGATAAGAGCCAACTCATAGTTTACACTAAGTGGTGTCCTGATTTTTCTTCCAGTCTTCCTTCTTAATGTCCCTCCTCCCTCTTCCTTCCTGCTGGATCTTCTGGATTGCTGATTTCATTGGTTCCTGGCACAAATCTTCACTCATAAATTTAGATTCGTCAGCCTTTCCCCTACAATGAAATGATTGATGAATCCTTACATGATTAGGGTAAAGACATATTCTGGGAAAGCACAACTTTACTAGCTGTTTCTTTTTACACTTTTGGTGGCCAAAGGAGCCTTTTATGTTCTTTCCTATAACTGCAGAATGACTTTGTTATTTGGCTTCATAGATTATAATCTCTCTGGTACAGAACATTGTTGAATAAAGCTTGGTTTAATAAAAACAGAATAATCAATGATACGCTAAGCAAAAATGTAGACTTGTAAAGAAAGGAAAGTTTCACAGAGCAGATTTTACCAAAGTTTCTAACTCTGAAGCTGATTTTCACCTATGTTCTTTTGGAATGGTAGTTCCCCTGCGGCTCTGGTTAACTTTTTAAATAGTCTTTCTATAGCGTTAGGTATGGCATGTTCTGGGTAGCCAAACAGTAACCATAAACTTGATCCCTGGGCCTTCTTTGGAGAAAAGTTTAGTTTCATACCTGAGAGCATTCACAGCCAGGCTAAAGACCACATGAGATCGCACATATAACTTTCTGTTCTCATTTGTTTCTTCAATCCACTATTTTACTTTGTGGATGTTGGGAGAACAGTTGAGATGAGTCATCGGCCGGCCGGAAGCAGTGAAGAGGTGGGGCAGTCATGCGGCCTTGCGACTGAGATCTTGACACGGAGTCAGGAAAAGCTCCACATCACACTCTGCCAGAGGCAATCTACCATCCCCCACAAGCCTTACCGAGAGCCTAATGCAGGAATGCTTTGCTAGAGAGGAGCACGCAAAGCGGCAGCACACATCTTTCCCTTCTAAAAATATGTGTAGTAATGGCCAAGAAATCCAGACACAGATCCATTTCACTTCGGACCGCAAAACAAAAATGAGGATGTGACACAGCCACACAAATTATCACTTTTGATCCATTTCTCATCCTCCATTTCTTTCATAACTCCCGGGAAGACACCGATTTTTGTCTTTTTTGTTTTGGTTTCCTTTGTTGTTGTTGTTGTAGGGGGGATTGTCAATCCAGAGGGAGAATGGTTTGGGGGCTGAATAAATGTCAGTCTTTTATGTTGTTGGGTTTTTTTAATGTTTATTTTTGAGAGAGAGAAAGAACATGATTGGGGGAGTGGCAGAGAGAGGGGGACAGAGGATCCGAAGCGGGCTCTGCACTGACAGCAGCGAGCCGATAGTGAGACTTGAGCTCCAAACCATGAGATCATGATTTGAGCCGAAGTCGGACACTCAACACTCAATGGGCTGAGCCACCAGGCTCCCCTAAATCTCAGTTTTAATTTGTTTTGTCATCTATTGAATTTAGATGAGTTACTTTCCTTCTTTGAGCTTCCATATTTTTCACCCGTAACATGATATCAGTGTTTGAGAGCTGTTCTAAAGGAATAACTCAGAAATTTACAAATAAAGTGGCTGGCACATTACAGATAAATAGTTCAATAAATAGTAGTTTACTAATAGTAATATAATAATATATATAATAATCACATTAGTATGACTTCTCTTTAGAACTGATTCTATCAATGACCTCTGTTCAAAATCCAACTGTCTGTTGTCAGTTTTTAATCTCCTCGAATTTTCTCAGCCATTTCCTACTTCTGTAGAATCTTGCCTTGCCTGGTTTCCAAGACAGTGGGAAAAAGCGGGTCTCCTCTGCAGCCAGTCATTCATTCCCAGTTTTACCCCACCTCAATTCTCCTTTTATTCCTCTAACTC